CCTGCCAATGCGCTAGGGATGAGTTCATTAAATGCTTGACCAAATATAGCAGGCTCGTTTTTAAGTTTGATAGTATTGTATGGACCGCGAATGATGTTATAAATATCCAAATGGTCCTTGGCAGAGAAAAAGGTTCCCCCTGCCGGGAACGTCAATAGCCAGGTGACTAATAGGAACCAACTCGGAAAGTGATAGAAATGAACCTGAATCTTATTTTCCTTGACAGGCTCACTTCTGTTGAATCGGAATAATCTAACTTTGTTTTTGTTCTTAATACATAACTATACTCGGTTAATAACTGGTGCTTTTATTTTCTTTAAATAGATACTCATTTCTTTTTCTGAAATATGAAAACCCATAAACTACACCCCCACCCCAAATCAAGAACATGAAGTCTGAACTTTGTTACGTAAATCGGTTTCAAGGCTTTTTATCCACAGAAATGATAGCCAAGACTTTTACCAATGAAGAATAATTAAGTCAGGTATGATGTATCTAATATGTGGCATGAAAGCAGATTTTGAAAAGAATATAAAAGTCTACACTTAAATTTTCCAAAGTATATTAATTAGTAAGCCTGTACAAGATTAGTCATAAACCTTAACTCATGCTACATTTTAATCAATGGCCCCAGAATGGCCTGACATCTTTTTTACAGACTTTATCTAATACCCAACACAAACAAGAACATAACATGACTATTACCAGTATCCATCTCTGGAGTCTCTAACCACATAGTAAGAATATAGAACATTTTCCTAATAGTGGATGTCATTTGTGCAGGACTGGATAAATTTAAATACTTTTTTTCAGGGGATAATTTTGCCAATAGTCCATATTAGATCCTACCTTTTGTATTTATTCATTCATTGTTTTATTTATTCTCTTATTGTTATGCTCATGAATAATTTTAACATCAATTTACTTTTCCAGAGAAAGCACATGATCAACCCATCAACAATCCTAACTGCAAGCCAAGGCAACCTTGAGAAAGGAAAACAAAGTTGGAGGTATCAGTCTACCTGATATCAAACTATACTACAAGGCTATAGTAATCAAAACAGCATAATACTGGCATAAAAATAGATACATAGATCAATGGAACAGAACAGAAAGCTCAGAAATAAACCCACGCCTATATGGTCAATTTAATATATGTCAAAGGGGGCAAGAACATACCATGGGGCAAAGATAACCTATTCAATAAATGAAGTTGGTAAATTGGATGAAAAAAATGAAACTGGACCACCTTCTTATACAAAAATAATAATAAAAAACTCAAAATTAATTAAAGACCTAAAAGTAAAACTCAAAAACCATTAAAACTACTAGAAGAAAACATAGGCAGTAAACTGTCTGACATTTCTCTTAGTAATATTTTTGTCTGATACATCTCCTCACACGAGGAAACAGAAAAAATAAAAAATAAACATGGGACTATCTCAAACTAAAAAGGTTTTGCCCAGCAAGGGAAACCAGCAAAAAAAATAAAATGACAACCTACATGGGAGAAAATCTTCAGTAATGGTACATCTAATAAACGGTTAATATCCAAAATTTATAAAGAACTCATACAACTCAATGCCAAAAAACTAACAAATAATCCAATGAAAAATGGCCAGAGAACCTCAATAAGACACTTCTTCAAAGAGGACATACAGATGGCCAACAAACATACGAAAAGGTACTCAATGTCACTAATGATTAGAGAAATGGAAATTAAAACCACCATGGGGTCACCTCACACCTGTCAGAATAGCTATGATCAATAAATCAACAAATAATAAGTGTTGGTGAGGATATGGAGAAGAAGGAACCCTCATGCACTGTTGGTGGGAATGCAAATCCACTATGAAAAACAGTGTGGAGGTTCCTAAAAAAATTAAAAATAGAACTACCTTCTGACCCAGCCATTCTACTTCTGGGTATATCGCTGAAAAAATACAAAGCACTACTTTGATAAGATATATGCACCCCTATACTTAATGTGGCATTATTTACAAGAGCCAACATATAGCAGCAGCCCAAGTGCCCATTAATAGATGAGTGAATAAAGAAGAGGTGGTACATACATACAGGGGAATATTACTTGGCCAGAAAAAAAGAATCTTACAATTTGTGACAACATGGATGGACCTAGAGGGTATATTTTGCTAAGTGAAGTATGTCGGTCACAGAAAGACTAATACCATATGATGTAATACTGTCAACAATAAAATTAATTTTAATTTTTTGAAAAATGACTCTACTATTTATGTATGTATAAATTTACTATTTGATTTTTAATTCCTGTCATAAACACTGTTAAATGTACCGCCCAACACAAGAGTGATAAACGTAACTAGTGCTACTATCTATCTCTATACTTATTTTCAGGCCACAGAGTTCACAGCCTCATTAATCTTTTTAAGGACTATATTCACAAGTTGCTTAGAGTATGCAATGAAGAATTGGTGCAAGATTTACCCTAATCAATACATTTACTCACTTGTTTTTCTCTCATATAATTACTCAAAGAATAATTTGATCATTTATTCTTCCCCCACCTCGTTTTCCCCCCATGGACCTCTTCTAGGCCTCCACTGCCCCCGGTCCCAAGCCTTCACCACCCTATTGTTGGTCCATATATGCGTACAAGTTCTTTGGTTGATCTCTTCTCACCCACCCACCCTCCCCACCCCGCTTCCCTCTTAAATTCCTCAATTTGTTCTATGCTTCTATGTTTCTGGATCTATTTTATTCATGAGATTATTCCTTTTTTTTTTTAACGAAAAAGAGTAAAACCTACCAGTAATCCACAACTGAAATACCATTTCATACAACAGCTGACAAGCACTTTGTCCAAAGGGAGGGAATTCTAATCTATTTTTCTTCATCTAAAATGATTTAGTAATTTCATGACACCTACTCCTCACTGACCCTTACTCTGCCCCCTTTCCTTTTTTCTTTTTTTTAATTTATTGAAGTAATATTGGTTAATAAGATTATATAGGCTTCAAAGGTACAATTCTGTAATACATCATCTGTATATTGCATTATGTGCTCAAGACCCAAAGTGAAATCTTCTTCGGTCACCATATACTTGACTCCCTTTACCTTATAATGCCCTCACCCCCTTCCCTCTGGTAACCACCATACTGTTATCTGTGTCCATGTGTTTTTGCTTGTTTTTCTTATGTGTTCATTTGTTGCTTTCAGTTTCATATCCCACATATGAGTGAAAGCAATATGGTCCTTAATTTTTTCTGACTTATTTCACTTAGCATGTCATTCTCAAGATCCATCATGTTGTGACAATTGGCAGTATTTCATCTTTTTTATGGCTGAACAGTCTTCCATTGTGAGTAGTATTCCATTGTATATATGTACTACTTCTTTTTTTTATTTCTTTATTGATTTCAGAGGAAGGGAGAAGGAGAGAGATAGAAACATCAATGATGAGAGAGAATCATTGATTGGCTGCCTCCTGCACACCCCACATTGGGGATGGAGCCCGCAACCCAGGCATGTGCCCTTGGCCAGAATCGAACCTGGGACCCTTCAGTCCACAGGCTGATGCTCTTATGTCCTACTTCTTTATTCAATCATCTACTGAATAATACTTTAAATAATTGACCAAAATATGAACTCATTCATTCATTCATTCATTCACTTTTAACAATACATTCAAGATACGGGACAATAACTTTGACTAATTCAATATCTGCCTGTATGCTCACTGTCCAGATATATACAATCTGCTAGATCCTTTTTTGTTTTTTAAGTATAGCCAGTAAACAGAACTGATCTGATGATACCTACTATCATACTCTTGACAGGAGTCCATGTTGGTCTTCTTTCGATCAGGCACTTATTTGAACAATTATTTTTCACGTAAGTGATTTGTTCCTTTTTAAAATAAAACCAACAACCAGCAACCCACCACCAATCCAAACTAACATGGACTCTCATGGAATAGGATATGCCCTTTATGGGACTCACTAAGAGAGACTTGGTCTATTTAGATTATGAAACTCGGTGCTTCAAGAAACAATAAAGTAATGGTGATAACCGTTGTTTCTTGGCCATGTGCATTGACACCTTTTTATCCTTGCATTGCTTCACTTATGATACATCTCACAGACACTGAGAACTAAAGCTCACAAGCCAGGCCTTATACTCCTAACTTTTTCAGTGATCCCTTCCCCTCAGAGAAAATAACGACATTTCTCTTTTGTAACAGATCCCAAAGTTACAGAGCTTAATCAAAAGCCTGGATTCATACATCTCAGAATACTCATCATTGGTTTATACTGGACATCTTTTTCTTCCTTTATTTTGACATGATATATTCCTTTATTCATCAATTCACCAACAATAATACAATCAAAACTCATGAATCAAAAAGCCCAAAAACAACATCCTTAAGGATCACTAATAACTGCCAAATGCCCATATCCCACAGCGTTAGTAGGTGAGGGAATTCTTTGCAGTGTATGTGTGTGTGTGTGTGTGTGTGTGTGTGTGTGTGTGTGCGCGCGCGCGCGCGCGCTTTCTGCACATATAAATTAATCAACATCTTTGCTTCATATCAGTTCCACTGACCCATGCTTGGCTCCTTTTCATATCAAGGCGATGCAATGAATAACCATTTTGCATCATAAACGTACTTCAAACTAGAACACTAACAATTTTGTCCATCTTCCTATGTGTTCTTCCACAGGGAATTAGCCTAAATCTTTATCAATGGAGAAGCACTTAAATGAATCGCAATGCAAAAATAAAACACAATGCGAGGCAGCCCTGAAGATGAATGACAGCTTTCGTCTTTCTTACTGAATTTTAGTAGTACTGAATCAGACGAACCAGAAACCCCAATTCGGGTCTATGCTGGTGTTTTTGGTTTTATTTATTAATACATTCACTTATTACATTGAGAAATTCAAGTGACATCCAGAAACCAAATTCCCAAGTCAAGAAAGCAAGCTGTTGGTACTTACACCAGTTTCTTCTCTCCTTACCCAGTTTGTAAAAGCCAGGAGCGTGAGCCTCAGAGAATGATGAGATCATCGGTGGTGTGTTCAAATGGGAACAATGCAAACTTTCAAAAGAAAGAAACAGCCTATAGTTAGATACTTTTTAATGGAAGTCAGTCTTGCAGTATTAGATTAATTATAAACTTGGTGCATTTCCTACACTCATCATTGCGCAAGAATTATACACCTTATTTTATTGACTTATCTAATTTTTATTTTTTAATAATTCAATGAGCCTGAGGATAAGAACGTTTATATTTCACAAGAATCTGCCTACATACTCCGAATTCATAATTTCACAGCTCAGTGACTGCTTTGAGTGGACCCCACCTGTGCAAAATTGGATAAATGCAAATTTTTTTCAGCATAGTCTCACCAATGATGCACACATTTTTCTGATTTATATGTCTAGTGATTATTTATTCATGTATATAATTATGCATGAAGTAAATTAATGATCTGCCCATTTTTTAAAGAATTTCTCCATGCAACTTTCTATGTGTACTTTAGTCAAAGCGGGGGGGAACCTTGAGTTCTATTTCTTTATCTGGAAAACATTTGGGTAATCATCATCTTTGGTTCATAATACATGTTCCTCATTGGCCCTTACTCAGCCTTCCTTATAATAAGTCATCTATAAATAAATGCACTTCTTCATTCCTTTATAATAACATATCAATATCAATGGTATGCTAACCTTTATCCATTCATGAGTTCACTTCCCCAGGCCCTGGATGAGAGCCCTGAATACCCTGTCCTCATGCCCATGGCCCAGCCACATAACTGACCATATCCTCTTTAATTTTAAAAAAAATTTAAAAAAAAACTCAGGGCGAATAGAGTTAGATTAATCATAATTCTGGTCATATAACACCTTCATAATATTGGTTTATGTTTAGCCCTCTCTCAATAAGACAATTATTTAAGCAATTGTTAATTTATGTAAACTTACTGTCGTTTTCTAATTAAAACAACACTTCAAACACCCAAAACAGCAACACAAATTCTTAGGTATATCTATCCATATTGTTGTTATGGAGGGTTTGGGGTTTTGATCTATTTATCTAAGAAGCCCAGTGTTTCAAATATGCACTAATAAAAATTACATAATTTCATATTATTAGTCCCTGGGTGGCCCTCCCTATTTTTCTTCCTTTACATATTTCTTTATCATTCATGAGTTCAATTCCCAAACAGTTCACCTTATCTCTTTTGCAACAGTCCACAGATTTCAGAATTTTGGATTCAGACTCAACCCCCACTCCAGGAGGCATCACTGGCCCAAGCTTTGCATTCCTTCCCTTTGGCACTTCAGCCCTTTGTTTACTGATTCACTCACTGATCCAGTAAAAATATAATCATTGCCTATAAATCACAAAGTGTCAAAAACAAGATTCTTGGACATTTCTAGGATCTATCCATAGGCTCATGTCCATGGAGCTTGTACATTAGGTCCCTTTTCGCAATGGTCTCAGTGTAGCACCTAAGTGCTCCCTCTCACTGAGATCTTTTTCAAGTTAAAATGATGAAATCAGCTGTATGTAAACAGGAATGAGAGCAGCAAAGATACCTGGAAATGTATGAAACATCTTCCATCTTTTTTAAGGAGTCATCACATGTGAAGAATAGAATTAATCTTTCTATCTATGGTTCATAATCTATCTCCATCATTATATGGCCACCCTCAGTTTATTAAAGATGTACAGCATTCTTTGAAATATTTCAGTGGACACCCATGAACAAGTTCCCCTAAACAAGTATATAAACTTTAAATGTTACTCTCCACAGTATTTATCCTTTCTTTAAAAAAAAACAAACACATTATTTATATATATATATATTTGTATTGATTTCAGGGAGGAAGGAAGAGGGAGAGAAAGAGAGAGAGAGAGAGAAACATCAATGATGAGAGAAAATGATTGATCCACTGCCTCCTGCACGTACCCAACTGGGGATTGAGCCCATAACATGGGCATGTGCCCTTGACTGAAATGGAACCTGGGACCCTTCAGTCCGCAGGCCGCACTCTATCCACTGAGCCAAACTGGCTAGAGCTTAAATATATTTTTATTGATTTCAGAGAGAAAGGGAGAGGGAAAGTATGATAGAAACATCAATGATGAGAGAGAATTATTGATCAGCTACCACCCACACGCCCACCACTGGGGATCAAGCCCCCAACCTGGGCATGAGACATGACCAGGAATCAAACCCTGACTAACTGGTTTATAGGTCCTCAGTCAACCACTGAGTTACACTGGCTGGGCACTATTTATCCTTCTTATGTGGCTGGGCCATGGACATGTGGACAGGGTATTCAGGACTCTCATCCAGGGCTTTGGGAAGTGAACCTATGAATGGATAAAGGTTAGCACACCATTGATATTGCTATGTTGTTATAAGGGAATGCAGAACATTCCACAGCTAATTAAATCATAACAAATAGTGAAGATTTTGGATAATAATCTCTGTGTTTAAGCAGGCTTTTAAATAGTGAAAAAAACATAAATTTAAGTATTTTTAAGAATATTTTTGTAGAGTTATAAATTAGACATAAAACTCAGACATAAATTAGACATAAAAGTTCATGTCTTTAGCCCAAGAATATCACTATTTTTATTTACTAAATAATTTAATTTTAATCTTAAACAATATATTGAATATCACTAAATTCACCATCTAACCCACAAGTCAGAACTATGACTATTATAAATATGTCCAAATGCTTTACATAGGTAAAGGCTTAATTGTCCTTTTTAATGGATCTTTCTTGACTGCATGAATGTAAATCCTTCTCTCATAGCATACTCTTAACAATGGCCTATGCCTAACTCTACTTACTGTATTCATTAATTCATTCATACATCTAAATACTCACAGAATAATTTCACCAACGGTTCACTACATAAAGAAAAGGCAAAATGGTAAAATAGGCAGCAAACCAGAACTACAATACGTGCTATTATGTGCAGCTGTCTACATACACATTATGCAAAATAAAAAACCCTGGGTATTTAAAAAATATGGATGTCAGTTGTATAAAACAAGGTAATCATTATCCTTATTTCATCATAAGACTCCTTACTGCTATGTGCTTTTCATCTCTTAAGTGAAATATGAATGTATTCATTCACTTATAACAATATATAATTAGGTAATATAATTGTAACTCATTATACAAAAAATTTGAATAATATTAGCATGTGATCGTATGCTCACAGTAAACTATCTTAAATTAATCATTATTCTTATCATAGGACATATTCTCATCATTGGTCTGTGATTGTTCTATTTTTTTAAAATAGATAATTGTTTATGCTAACATGTCTGACCTTTTCTTAATAAAATAAACACCAGCAATCCACCATCATTCCATAATAACAACAAACCTGTCTATTTGCTCCTCCGAAAGTGGTAAAACCTTGATCTATTTCTTTGCCTAGATCTCACTGCTTCAGAAATGTTTCAAAACATATTCTCATAATTAAACAATGTGCGACTTTCCTGGTCTTCATTCATTCTTTCATTTCTTTCCTTACTTATTATTTCATGTATAACAAAAAAATAACCCAAGAAAAGGGTCCTGAATCCTCCCTTTTTGTACCCACGAAAGAAATAACTAGATATTATCTTGTAATGACCTCGGACCTATAGAGTTTAACCAAAATCCTTAATTCAAACACCTCAGGACACTCGTCATTGATTCAGACTTGGCATTGTTGATTTCTTCTTTCATGTCTTCCTTTCTGGATCATGTTCACATGCATACTTTGAAATACAGCCAATATCCAGGAATCACAAATGCCAAGAACAAGATGAATGACTATGGAAAGACAAGTCTATTCCTACTTGTCCCACAGAGCTGAGTGCCTTTTTTCACTGCCCTCTAGGTTGCCTATATGGATGGACCAACAGCTCTGCTTCATCTCAATGTCATAGTGACAACAGGTTTCTGCTTGTCTCTTTAATGTGTCCACATCGTGCAGATGGCAGCATGAACAAGCAGGAGTCACCGCTCACAAATGAAACCATGTAACTTTCTCCATCTTCCTGTGTTCTCCACCCTCAACAAGTCAACAGCCTCCATCTTTGCCACGAGGGATGCCTCAATACATTTTTGTGGCCCCAAAATCATTAATCATGGAGCCTTGGTTCATACTATAGTCCCATCCTTTGTCAATGGTTGGTGCTTTGTTATTTTATGTGTTTTTATAAAAACATCACTGGCCATGAATGAGATTATGATATGAACCAAGGTTTGAGATAGACAGGGTGAGGCAAAAGTAGATTTACAGTTGTGAGTCTATGAAACACAGAGTTTATTTGTGTATTAGTATTTATTAATTACCGTATTATTTTCCATGCTAACACCTATAAACCTACTTTTGCCCCACCCTGTAAATATGTATCTATATAGATATATATCTCTCCAATTACTTAAGATACTTCCTTTAAAACACATGAACAAACTCCCCAAACCAAGAACATGAACTCTGGCAGTAACTTATACTCATCCCCAATAGAGAATGATTGAGTTGGTTGTAGTGTGTGCGTACTGGCAAGCCAATTCCAGACAGTCTGTATTAGATATTTTAAGTAGACACGACTTTTGTGCTCCAGATCAATCATCAACCTGAATCATATTCACTATCATTATTAGTGTGAAAATTGCATTCCTTTTATTTATCAGATTATCTTATTTTTAATTTTGAGCAATATAGTAAGTAAGCATCATTCAATCCAACATCCAACTCATACATTAGGCTGGTAACTATCACAGATCGCATGGCCAAATAACCCCTACTCATAGTCATTTCACTTGTGCAGAATTAGAGACATTTAAAACCTACTATCATGGCAAAGTCTCATGAATAAAACTAGCTTTACCTCATTTTATGGACTTGATTAACTTCTTTCATTGATTTAATTATTAATGAAATAATTTGATCATCTATTTTTTCTAAAAATATATATATTATATTTGATCATCATTACATTATATATAATATGAAATACAGGGTGGAGCAAAAGTGGGCTTACAGTTGTGAGTACAAGAAACAAAGTTTATACTTGTATTATTATTTATTAATTATTGTATTATTTTTCCATACAATTTTAAACCTACTTTTGCCAACCTGTATAATTTGATCATCATTTTTCTAAAAATATGTATTATGTGTGATATATAAAATATACTATATAAAATATAAACATAATAAAATTATATACAAAATAATAAAAACTCTCCAAATGAAACCTGGAACTGAAAAACTATTATTATATGTACGTGTCTCTACTTAATCCAGTGGTTCTCAACCTTCCTAATGCCACGACCCTTTAATAGAGTTCCTCATGTTGTGGTGGCCCCCAACCATAAAATTATTTTCGTTGCTACTTTGTAACTGTAATTTTGCTACTGTTATGAATCGTAATGTAAATATCGAATATGCAGGATGTATTTTCATTGTCCGCGACCCACAGGTTGAGAACCGCTGAAAACAAAAACAAAAAAACAAACTAGGTCCCACATTCTACACGTGGACATCATCGGGTATGGCAGGGTTCGTCTACCTTCTTTCACATGATATGCTTCACACTATCCATTGTTTGCCCTCTTTTAGGTAACTGTTTGAGATATCATCATATTATTCAATAGCTAATAAAAGTATACAATTACCAAGAATCTATAGACCCTATACTTGGATACCAGAAATACTAACAACTGTCCACAGGCTCCTTACCCACAGAAATCACTGACTATATCCCTTTTCCTTTTTTTTTCTTAAATGAATTCAGCACACACAATTAGATTAAGGCAGTCTGGTGTCACAGAACACATCCTCAACCCTGGCCCATGCTTGCTTCTTTCTCACTGGTGAGCGAAGTAATCACTTGCTTATGTAAACGTTCTTTCCTTCTAAGTAACACCAACAATCGACCGCCTCCCATCGGCCCAGAATGGCAACAGGGACCCTTACGTGCATGTGCTCCAAAGGGGAGGACAGCTCTTACCTGGGAGATGGCAACTCACTGTAAACAAATAACCACTAATAATTCTTCTTTCGTGATACTCTCTCATAAATGATCCATATTTGATCCTCTTTGTCTTCATTCACTTACATGTTTATTTAATAATGCATTCATTAATTCACTTACATCAATACAATCTACACCCAGGAACTACTAGGACCCAAGAGCCAAATCCCCAATGGGCTTGAACTTCTGCTCTGAACTCTATTCCCTTACCGTCTCTTTCTAAGAGTTTAGGGTTTAACCGACATTCTTGATTCTTACACATTGATCCAAGCACAACACTTTTCTTCATCTATTTATTTATACTTTATTGATTGATTATGCAATATTGATTAGTTCATTCGTGGATTTCCTGATCAAAAGTTTATTCCAATGAGTCACAAAACCCCAAGAATAATATCTTTATATACTGCAGAGAGCAGTTTCCAGGTTTATTTCCCACAGAGGTAATAAATGAGATATCTTTTTAATTGGACCTCAGTGTTGAAAATAGGGATTAATCAATAGCCTTGCTTCATGCCCATCACATGGGTTTCACCACTCTCTGCTTGCTCATGGTTCATTGAATGTCTTCATATTTTAAAAATAGAACAATAGTACAATGAACCTACTGACAATACTTTCTATCTTCCTAGGTGTTCCTTCTCAATGATTTAACAAACTATAACATTATCCATAAAAATATTTTTAAATGTGGTGCAAAAATAAAGTGGAATATTAGGCAATTCTGAAAATGAATGCAAAAGTCTCTAAATCTATGTTTACTGTGTCTCAGTTGTCTTAAAAGGGACTAGTCTTAATCAGTGGTTCATTATGCATCCCCACTAGCGGTCCATGCATGACATTCCTGGACTTTCTTTGCAGTAGCCACTCATGGCTTTGAAACAATTCCATGGACCACATGAATAACCCCCTCCAAATTAAGAAAATGAGCGCCATTACTTACATGAGTCCCTTTGCCCCTTTTGCAAAGAAGTAACCACTGAGGTCCTCGTCACTGGATAATAACTAAGTTGAATCTGTGGAGTAGAGGGGCAGTTTTTAGAAAATTGAAATAGTGCAGATTTTTCCAGAGAACTTAGCCCTGCTGTTCCAGATATCTCATGACCTCGGTTTTCATCACATTCCAAGAGCCCAAGAATGTCCCTCTTTTCATTTTATTTAATTAGAAATATATGTGATATGATGACAACAGCTCAATCTCAATCCTAGCCGTAGAATGAAGAATTATGCCTCGCCCAGTGGCGTGGCTCAATGGATTGCACCGGGAGGTCTCCGGTTCAACTCCCAGGCAGGGGACAAGCCTGGGTTGCTGACTTGAACCCCAGTGGAGGGTGTGCAGGAGGCAGCTCATAAATGTTTCTATCTCTCCTCTCATTTTCTCTCTCTAAAAATGAATAAAAACTTACTTTTTTTAAAAAGAACTATGCCTATTCCAAATTCTGTCTATTAAAATCACACACATAGGTAAGAGCCTAGTTTATCTTTGATATGGGTCCTGTTTGATTAGAATTAGGTAACGTTAGCCCAGCCAGTTTGGCTCAGTGGTTGAGCGTCAACCTATGAACCAGGAGAGTTCACAGTTCAATTCCGGGTCAGGGTGCATGCCTAGGTTGCAGGCTTGATCTCCAGTAGGGGGCATGCAGGAGGCAGGCAGTCAATCAATCTCTCTCTCTCTCTCTCTCTCTCTCTCTCTCTCTCTCCCCCTCTCGCTTCCTCTCTGATATCAATAAAATATATATGAAAAGAAAAAAAAGATTTAGGTAAATTTACATCCTATTTCCAGACATATTTTCACCAATGATCCATTCTTGACCCTACTTTATGAAGTTATTAATTTATTTTGTTTATTTACTCATGAAATGACATTACTATTTTCTTTTTTTTCCCCCAAATAAATGCAAAATTACCTAAAATACTCTCACAGGTAACTGCCTCAATGCTCTTTACCCAAAGTGGGCAGAGCCCGATACCCTTATTGTTTGCCCTCTTTTTAAACTACCTTTTCCTTAATTCACTTATTATAATATTATCAATATTCATAAACCTACATGCCCCGGAAAGAGTCCTAAATAACACTAACATCCGCCCAAAGAAAAACAACTACATGGGTTTTAAAAAAATGATACTGATTAAGATGAACTGATTTAATCATAATGCATCCTTAACATTGGTCCATCCCTTGGTCTTCTTTAATTAGGCAGCTCTGTAATTAATTGTTTATTTTGTTTCCTTTTTCTTTTTTAAAAAAAATATATTTTACTGATTTTTTTACAGAGAGGAAGGGAGACGGGTAGAGAGTTAGATATATCCATGAGAGAGAAACATCAATCAGCTGCCTCCTGCACACCCCCCACTGGGGATGTGCCCACAACCTAGGTACATGCCCTTGAACGGAATCGAACCTGGGACCCTCCAGTCCACAGGCCGACGCTCTATCCACTGAGCCAAACTAGTCGGGGCTGTTTCCTTTTTCTTAATAAAATTAACAACAACCACAAGAAACAACATCAACTCTTACATATCTGCCCATGTTTCTAACCAACATGGTAATATTGTTGAAATGAAAATGGGAAGTCAGCTCCGCAGAAACCCTTAAATGAGCATTTATATCTCATTACATACTCTCATAATTAGTAACTATCTAGTCCTCCTTGTCTTTATTCATTGATGTTTCTTTATTTACCCATGAATTGATTCACTAACAAAAGGACCCATACCTAAGATCTACCAAAGTCAGGGGCAAGATGCCCTTGTTAACTTCAGCTACAAGCTCATGTCTCATGGGGCAGGAAATTAAGTTTTTAATAATTAACCTCAGAGTTATAGAGTTTCACCAGGATATCCATCATGGGTCTAGGCTTGGCACTGTTTTTTTTATACATTTGTTTACTGATTTATTCATTGATTGAGAAAAAAATTACCTTACATCCATGATTCACAACAAAGCAAGAATAATATGGAAGAGTATCACACTCCCTTCAGTCCTTTGCCTAATTTCTCCCAGACTCATCAACAGGATGGCTTTCTACTGTGGTCACTGCGGCACATATGGGTCAATCAATATTCTTTAGGCAAACCCACACTTCTCATGGCCATGCTTGGCCCCTCCTTCGGTTTTCCTTCATTTGTTAACATTTTAAATATGCAACAACAAAAAATCCAAGAATGTCTCATTTTATGTCATTAACAATTTTCTATCTTTTTTGTGTTCTATCTCAGTTGGTTAGGAACCTAAATGTTTATCACTGGTGGGATGTATAAATTAATAGTGATGAACAACAAAATGAAGTATTGGACAACTGTAAGAAGAATGAAGCACCACCTTCATCTTGTTTTAATGGACCTCACTTGTTCAAAGTTGAATTAATCTAACTTGGACACAATTCACCAGTGCCCATTCATGACCCTCTTTATATGTATTTAGCTATTTGCTTATTTAGTATTTAATTTTATTAGATATGGATTAATTAAAATCCTATAGTTTTTTGAAGGGAATTAGCAAGAGTAAATCTATCATTAGCTCAAACTTAACATGAACCTAACCTGTAAACCTTAAACAAATAAGGTTGGAGCCAAGACTTTATAGCCTTTATAAATAGTCATGAGTAATTATTTATAAACATCATTATGGACACCAGCAAGGAACTCTGAATTTATCCTCATAGTTGCTTTACAAGTCATGTAAATCACGGATCCATGATCTGTCTGCTTTTAAGGCATTGATTGTAACTTATTAATTCCAAAGAAACTGGTCAAAAACTCTGGAAAAAACTAACACCTCTCAACCTGTTCATTGCTAACAGAGATAAGCAACTGTTATTTGCTGTTGTTTAATGAACTTAACGAATAAACTGGATTAATAATTCTTATCATCTGACACAAACTCAACCTTGGTCCAATTCAATTTTCTTATTTATGTAAATATCTTCCCTTTTTATAAACTAATGTCTACACTTTAACAGACTTCAGTGCTTCAAAAACATAGTGATAATATTCCTTGCTTTATTATAAACCTTCATCATTAGTCCATCTTTGCAGAAAGTTCTATTGGACAGTGTTAATATTTACGCTTTACCCTTGGGTAATAGTCTAGCATTTTTTCTAATGAAGCCAAATGGAATTAATCATCATGTTTGATAATTGCTCCATGCTTCTTTTCTGTTTTATTTAATCATTTCTAAAGAAGTTTTAATGAGCAACCAAAAATCCAATTTCTCACCCACAAGTAGAACATTACCTTTCATCTCCCATTGTGCTCCTTGCTCAGAGAATTCATAGCCTAGATCTTTATCCAGGGAGAAATGTCTGAACAAACTAGGCACATAAAAGGGATGAAGCAGGCTAGATTGTTTATTTGGAAGTCAAGAGCACAATAAAAACAATAGAACTAAATTAACTCTAATCTATTAGTTCTTGGGTCATTCACATCACCAGTCTATGTTTTGGCCTTTCTTGTATTTTGGCCTTTCTTGTAAATAATTACTTGTGTAATTATTTATTTTTAGTATTAAAATCAACATCTAGCATATCACCATGCAAAAACAAGAAAATTAATTGCTCCTTAATTAGCAGTTTTTAAACAGACCGTGGATGTACAGAATTAGAATCATCTTAATTCTAGGATAATGAGATATTATCCTCATTGACCCATGTTTGCACTCTCTTGTTTTATTCATAAATTTGTTCATTCATGCATTTACTTATTTATGAACACTTGAAACAACTTTCCAGCTGAATATTTAAGAACATTGACTATTACTTACTTTTTCTATACATACTTTATTCACCCAAATAAGAGTCAAAATTCTCATAAATACTGCATGATTAAATAAACTATTGTGTGTTCATTTTGTGAAATAGAAACCAAATACTTAAAAAATTAACAACCTGGCCCTGGCCTGCTTTTCACAGTGGTTAGAGCGTCAGCCTTTGGACTGAAGGGTCGCGGGTTCGAATGCGGACAAGGGCATGTACCTCAGTTGCAGGCCCGATTCCTGGCCCCAATCAGGGCACAGGGCACACATGGGAGGCAACCAATCAATGTGTCGCTCTCACATCAATGTTTCTTTCTCTCTGTCCCACCCCCTCCATTCCACTCTCTCTCTAAAAAAAAAGGGGGGGAGGAGTATCCTCAAGGGAGGATTAACACAAAAATAGAAAGGAAAAAACACCCTGGCTCACTTTTAATCTCTCTCACTTGTGTAGAATTGAATTCCTTGGTTTATGAAACATGTCCTCATTGGTCTGCACTTAGCCCCTTTTTTATTTATTCCTTTAAAAATATCATAAAAGAATACCTATAATTCTTATCCAACAAAGAGAAAGCTACCAATACCTGTCAAGTGTAACTGAAAAAAGTAAAAAAAACTACCAATACATTATGTCTGTATGTGTACCTCCCTCACTGATCTAACAGCCTAAACTGCATCAATAGGGAAGTGTTTATAGAAACCAGGGTGTATAAATGAATGGTATAATGATATTAACATAAATGAAATAGAGTAGATATTTTTGTTTTAATGGCCCTCAAATTTGGAGAATTATGTAATCATACATTCTCTTCGTTAGTCCATGCCTAACTCTCTGATTTATGTACGCATCTATTTTTGATAAATCAATAAAAACACATGAATCCACCACTCAACCCAAGAAAAAGTAACAATTATATTTATAATAATAACAGATTTATCCCCTAGAGCGCCCGGGAGTGCGATCGCGCTCCTCCTGTCTTTCGCCAAAAGTGCCGGGAGCGCTATCAAAGCTTCGAAATGGCGTCCATTTCTAAGTCTGCTTTTATTAGTGATGATGACATTGCTAAATATATCAGTGTAGTAAAGGTTTCCTTAAGTTTTTGAATATGTAACTTCATTTACTTGCGATTCATAATTTTTTTTCCTAAACTGCTGTAAAATCAGCAAAAAATGCCTTGGCAATTTTAGCATAGTTTCTGGGATATTGGTTGGCACTCAAAGGGTTAAATTGCATATATGTATATTGTAGCTACTCATATCATATATAAAATTAACATAACTATATATGTATATAATTATTTTATGTGCTCATTCCCTAACATAGAGAACATCCCAGTTACATTATGTTTGAATTTGGTGGCAGTTATGCCAAATGAAATGCATCGTCCTTGCTTCATGACACTCCCATCAGGATAGAGTCAAGTCTTATCGCGTGGCCATCTTTAGTTTTATTTGTGCCCATGTATGTGTAATACAGACACACTCACCAACCAACCACCCAAAGTGCAGCAACACTTACCATCACGCACATTGGTTGGTCCATGGCTCATTTCTCACAGAGGTCACAGTCAAGATCTTCATCATAGACTTGCTCTGGGGCCTCCATTCTGTGGATCACAAGGCAGAGAGATTAGGGAAAAACCACCCAGGTGTTTTCAAGGGTCAGGTGAGCGGCACAGGCATAATCACCGTCTTTGATTCATCACACAGTCTCACCACTGGCTCAAGAATACCTCTCATTGTACATATTTTTTCATCTAATAATTTTATTATTACAGTAAACATGCACAAATTCACCACCCTAATCAAAAACAAGAACGATGGTTATAAGCTATCTGTCTTTTTGGTTCTTCCCAAGCGACCAGCCTAGATCTTCTTCCCAACAGACTCAGATATGCAGAGTTGGAATAAAAACAATCTGTGACTCTACACATAATCTCATCTCGTTATTGTTTCTTACTTGTCTTTTTTATTGCTTGTACTTATTTTTTTAATACAATAAACACATATGAGCTCAGCCCTGGCCCAGAACAAAAATATCACTTAGTACTTCCAAAAATGCTTTCTCACCAGAGGCACAAGCTTTGCTTTGTTCTATTATTTGAAATAGACCACAATTGTACCTACGTGAGTTAATCTTAATCCATAATTCATAATACATTGTCTTTGATGGCCCATTCTTGACCCTCTTTCATTGTGTCATTTATCTTTTATTGCTCATCTAATTCATTGTTAACTGCACAATAAATACACCTAAGGCCACCATTCAGCCCATCACCAGTGACCATTCTATACACCTGTTGGTATGCTTCCCCCCCACAGTCCCAACAGCCTGGGCCTTGTTGGATTTAGGGGGCAGGGTGAACCAGATTATTCATAATCCTTGTTTAAAACCCCATTCTCATCACTGGTCCGAGCCTGGCTCTCTCTACTTTAATTTATATATACGTTCATTTCTGCCTCTTCAGTGAGCACCCATGAAGCCCGCCCACACCTGTCTACAGTGTCCCTCCCACAGCCAAGATTTCTCTGACGGAAAAAGCCCAGTGCGCCCATCCTGTGGGACCCAAAGTCCAGGGAAAGGAAGAAAGTAGCCTAGGCCTTCGTGTGTGTTAATGTCAGGCTAGCAGACCTGGATTAATCACCATCTTTTGTCCAGAACAAATTCTCACAATTGCTCTATTTGAGGCCTTTATTTTATGATTTCTTTATGTTTAATAATAAAATTAACAACCACAAACCACTCCAATCTTTCTTTATCTCCCTTGGCTATAGGGAATTAATCACAATTTTTGGCCCATGGCCTGTTCTCATCATTCTTCTGGGCATGTCTCCCTCATTGTATCACTTGTTCACACTGGTACAATAACCAGGCCTGAACCCCACCTCCATGCCTATTGTCCAGCACAACCCTTGCTGCCCTCTACCTCAGCTCATCACTCCCCCATCTTCTATGTACCTTCCCCTGCTCCTTTTATATACATAAAACTTTATCAAGTATAAGTATTCTTTAAAAATAGTTTCCATGGGCCAGTGGTTTGCTGGAGGTGGTAAAAGGACTCGAACCCAGACCATTAGACTCCATCCCTGTGCTCACAGGCACAATGGTCAGAGCACAGGTGTGCACACCACACCCCCTGCCTCAAAACCCAGACTCAAACCCTGACCCGCTGGGTGACATCGGGCGAGCTAACCAGCCTGTGTGTGCCTGTTTCCCCATCTGTACGACAGTCACAGCTGTAGTCCCTCAGCTAGGCAAAGCCCCTCCCCATCCCATCTCTGAGCCCCTCCCCCAAATCTTTGTCCCCTCTGCAGCAGCGCCTGAGCCTTGGTGCTAGACAGACAGACAGACCAGGTTCCACCCCAGCAGGCACTCATGAGCTGTGTAACTGCAGAGACGTGACCTGGCCTCGCTGTCTTGTACCCCGACTTGTGCGAATAGTAGGCTGAGGACGGCAACACCCCCGTGGCTCCAACGTGGGCGCATCGCACTACGGACAGTGGCTGAAGCAGCTCCCACCCGGCCCAGGTCCTGCCCTACCCGTGCCCATGCTGCCCATCTGCTGGTTATACAGCCCCCGAACGGATTACAGAATTATCAAATTGCTCAGGCCCAGAGGGTTTTGGGAAGGACGGGCCTTGGGCAGGAAATTGTTAGGGTCTGTATCTATTTTGGACACAGCATCAAAGCTTAAACAAGTACCCTGGAGAGTACAAGTCCAAGTAAAGGATTCATTTCACAAACTGGGGCCACTTCCAGGGGCGCCTATACTGTGAGATTCTTTTGTTTTTTCTTTATTGCTTTATGGAGAGAGGAAGGGAAGCAGAGGAGAGAGAGAGAGAGAGAGAGAGAGAGAGAGAGAGAGAGAGAGAGAGAGAGAAACATCAATGTAAGAAACATCAATAACTTCCCAGACACCAAGGAGGCCTCCACTCTAACCCTTCCTGACAATACTCCGCCAGCTTCCTGAGACTTGAAAAATATAAATAAATAAATAAATAAATAAATAAATAAATAAATAAATGCTGGCGCGCATATATATATATAGTATGTGTATACAGCAGTGGTTCTCAACCTTCCTAATGCCGCGACCCTTTATGTTGTGGTGACCCCCAATCATAAAATTATTTTCGTTGCTACTTCCTAACTGTAATTTTGCTACTGTTATGAATCATAATGTAAATATCTGATATGCAGGATGTGTTTTCATTGTTACAGATTGAACATAATTAAAGCATAGTGATGAATCACAAAAGCAATACGTAATTATATATGTGTTTTCCGATGGTCTTAGGCGACCCCTGTGAAAGAGTCATTGGACCCCCAAAGGGGTCGCGACCCACAGGTTGAGAACCGCTGGTATACAGTGTGATATATTCATAACCACATCTATGGGGACGTTGATATGGAGTCATGGAGAGACCCCACACTGGGCGCTAGGATGTGGCTCTCAGCTCTGCCTTCGTCCCTCGGCGGGGACCCACCCCCTGGCGGAGCCTCGGGGGGCAGTAACCCATCAGTCTCCCCTCCCACCCAGGTGGTGTAAATGCAAAGCATGAAGTTTAAGTGCGCCTTCCCTGTAAGCAGCCTGGGAGCGATAATGTGGTACCTCCTGGACCAAGCACGTTGTGCTCACAGCATGCTTTAGCATACATTATCCTGTTTGATCCTCGCCACAGCGGTCCTGTGGATTAGACATAATAATCATAATTAGCCGATATTTATTGGATGCACACTCTCCACCAGGCACCATGCTGCCTGCTTTGCAAACTTGACAGTCCTCTGCAGTGGGTCCAATTCAACAGCATCTTCCCCCTCCATCCCCCCACCCCCCCAAAAAATGGTGAGCATGCATTTAGGTGCCTAGGATATAGCAGGGAACAAAACAGACAAGAAAAAGTGAGTATAGCAGGTAGGAGACGGTCATCAGACCAACAGCTGACTCCTGAAGGACAGACTTCAACTGCAAGCCCGCTTATATGTAGAATTTTTTCAGTAAATACTGTAAAGGTTGTTTCTCTTTCTTATGATTTTTTAATTACTTTTTTCCAGCTTACTTTATTGTCAGAATACAATATAAAATACACATAACATACAAAATATGTGTTAATTGACTGTTTATCTCATCTGTAAGGCTCCTGGTCAACAGTAGGGTATTCGTAGTTACGTTTTAGGGGAGTCTAAAGTTATACACATATTTTTTTTTGACTGTGTGAGGGGGTCAGCAGTCCTCACTCCTGTGTTGTCCAGGGTCACCCATATGGAGAAAAAGTGGACAGGAAAGGCGGTGATAGAAACAATAAGGAGAGTGCTTCAGTAATTTAGATAGACTTGTCCCCATTTTACACATGAGAAAACTGAGCCTCAGAGAAGTTCAGTGACTTGCGTGTAGTCACACAGCTAGGAAGACGGCTGAACTACAAAGCAAACGTGCGAGCTCTGGCTCCAAAGCCTATCGAACCCTAAATCCAATGCCTGCCTCATCCTGGTAGCTCTTCCTCCCCGATGCTCCCATCAGCCTGCAAGGCGGGTGTGTGGCTGCATGGCTGGGGGAGTGGGAGGGCTGGTCTGACCACCCCCTCTCCAAAGGCAGCCGCACACACCAGCGTACCTGTTCACCTGTGAAATGTGGGCAATTGGGCAATAATTCCTATCAGGCAAAGGTATTAAATGCCGCCTCAGGGAGAGCAGGAATAGCAATTATAATGCCAATTACAATGAAGTATTTGAGGGCTCACCATATACGGACATTGTTTTAAGCACTTTAAATGTTTGAGTTACTTCATCTTCAATAAGGTACTGTTCGTATCACCATATTGCCACTGAGGAAACTGGGGCATAGAGGTGAACTACTTGGTCCAAACTCCCAAAACTAGTCCATGGGGGAGCTGGGATTGAACCCCGAGTGTCTGGGATGTGGGTCACAGGGCTCACACCTGCAGTCGATGCTCACAATGAACCTGCGGAATGAGAGCAGGGTTTCGGGGAGGCTGGCCGGTTTGCCCCTGCGCCCACTGTCTATTTCCCTCTTGCCTTGCCTCGCACCCCTTCGGGCTCTCGAGTCCTGTGTGCGTCTGGTCTCCTCAGCATTCAGTCATAACGTGAGCTACCGGGACTTTAGTTGGACTTCATTAATTGTTCTGTAGGATGTCGGGGATAAGTTGGACCCTTGTGTGTGTGATTTTAACAAATAGGATGAGCTAGAGAAGTTGTTACTTGAGAAATAAATTTAGAGTCCAGAGGATAAGAAGTCCAGCTCCCTGATGAGCCAGGAGGTTGAGTCTGACATGGGTGAACCCCCCAGGAGTACAGGTTTTCTCAGGCACAATCACAAAAAAAAAAAAAAAAAGGAAAGAAAAGCAAGCGAGGGTTCAAATGCCGATTCTATATTCGCTCCCTGTGTGGTTTGGGGCAAGTCACTTATCCTTGCTAGCCCTCAGTTTCCTTTTATCTCGTGCAGGAGGGTAATTGTTATCAGGGAGGTTGGCTGTGATGATTTAGATGAGATGCAATTACGCCAAGTGGCTAGAAAAGGCCCAGCATGCGGTGAGGGTCACGGAGTACTCATCCATCCAGGAGAGCCAATGGGAAGGGGAGGCTGCCTGCTGTCTCGGTGCGCTGTGAAGGCGGCTGGGGCTCAGAGCTGACGCTGAGCAGCTCCAGCAACACAACTGGGACTGGGTCCCTGTGGACTGGCAGCCCACCTGTTGTCCCTGCGCCACCTGAGCCAGTCAGTGCACTCGGAGGCAAGACAGACGAAGGCAGGCGCTCCACGCAGAGGACCCCTATTCACGGAACAAGTAAGCCTTTCGCCTTGGTGAGAAACTGACTTATTTCTAATCCATCCATCCATCCATCCATCCATCCATCCATCCATCCCAGCTTACATCCCTCCTTCCTCCTCTCCATTATGCACAGAAATCAGACAAACCTGGGTTGGAATCCTGGGCTGCTTCCTAGCCGACCTTGGACAAGTCACTAACCTCTCAAAGTCCTCTCCTCTGTAAAGTAAAGGGCAGTGAGACAGCCGGATGAGGATGGAGAGAGAGAACGGACAGATGGTGCCCGGCCTGAGCAAATGACCATTAAGCGTTCCTTCGCTCCGCTTATGCCAGCGGGCCGCGATGTGCGCAGGGACAAAGCCGGGATGTCCTGCGTGAGAGAAACACTTTTTAGAAATTATCTGCCCTGTTTCAGCAGTGTGCTTGCCCCCCGTGGTGCCCAGGGCTGGCCTGTAAACACTGCAGTTTGGGGTAGTGGTCCCGCCTGGACTTCCCACGGTGGGGTCCCGGGGTAGGGGGGTGGCGGGGACCTGGGATGCAGCAACTGCTGTCTGCTAGCGGGGAAGCTGGGCTGTGAGCCAGCGAAGCAAGAGGTCCCAGCCCGGGGACCTGGTTGGGATGTCTTACCCACTCAGGGGGTGGACTGCCTGGTGGACGGCAGCCAGCTGTTTGCCACCCCGCCCAAGGCCCCTGTAGAGGTTTCCATGGGAGAAGGATTAGTTCTAGCTCCTCCTGCTTGCTGAGCGTCTGGTATGCATTAGACACAGGCAGAGGGGTTTCACGTGCATTATCTCGATTGCACTCAGTGACCCTGGGAGAGACCCAGAACTTGTCTTGTTTTCCATGAGAAAACTGAAACTCACTGAGGTTGGGTTACTCCCTGGGGCGAGGGGAGTACAGCTGGAGGCCCTTGAATCTACAGCTGCACTTCACTTCTGCGAGCCCAGGGCCCCCGAGCGTGCAGGACAGGCTGTAACCGACTGTAAAAGAAGTTTATGGGGGATATTGGAAAGCGGAATCGATGCTGGGCGGACACTGAGGAAATGCTGTTAATTTCTGAACTGCGATGATGACATTGGTTATGTTTGTAAAGCAGAAGGGTTCTCTTTTTTAGAGATACATCCTGAAAAGTCCTCAGAGATAACGATGTGGACTTGGCTTCAAGACAGTTGGTGAGGGGCGGGCGGGGGAAGGACAGCGGGAGGTCCGGATGGACTGAGAGGCGATAGCAACCACAGCTGGGTGACAGCAACGTGAAAGTGCGTCCGTCTGTGCTGTTTGACATGTCTCCTAATTAGAGGGTTTGAAAATCAACACGTAAAAATGAGTGGAGGACACGAGGTCATTAGAGAGGGGCCCAGGGTCTCAGCTGAACCCCGGGTGGAAAACAGGGAGCTGAGTCACAGGGTGCAGAGGGGACGAGAGGGG